AGATTGTAATGCTAGGGTTTCTAGTGATGTCATGACCTGGATCTGGGTCATACCATTACCAATCTCAGTAGAAAATGTAAAGGGGTGTCAGGGCTACATTTTGATAGGAATTATAGTGGTGATACTGAAACAAACCCAGGTCCTGGTAATATACAAGACCTGAATTAACAAAGAAGTCAAGTTGTTATTAAAGGTACATCACTGTTTAGTCAGATTTATGAATGCAGTTTCTTGAGCATGTATGAGACATACATGTAGTTTGGTTGCACTTGTGTACTCTGAGATTTTGGACCCGGGTCAATGAAAGTTTTCAGTTATCAGATTAAGAGAAATCACTTTATGATGAGTTGTACCCACATAGAGTACATATTAATTCAACTGTTTGCAGATGTTCCATGTATTATTTTAACATGAGTATTTTATAATTAAATAACAGGGACTGTGACATTCATGTCTTGTTTATCTGGTATATCGCACATAGGGACATGCCATGACTTATTTTTGATTATCTGTAGTAGTAGTTTATGAAAAGTTTATTCAAAAGATGGATAACCAAAAGTTTCAGGATTTTTTTCTCTTACACTATTTATTGTCAAATGTACTGTAATGCCTATTGTACTTGTACTCTCATGTCATAGTGGCATTGGTTTTGTACTAGTAAACGTAAATTGAAAGTCTGTGTGATGACTCTCGCTTCAGGGTTACATATATCAGTGCTTATGGTAATAACTTATCATTATTATTTAGATTGCAGGGTGCGTCAACTGGCGGACCAGATTCAATACCATTGTTAACTATGTTACCAGAACCTGAAATAGAAGTAGATAATACAATACTTGAAGATGAAGCACAGTTAGAATTACAAATGGCATTAGAAAAAAGTAGAAGAGTGAAACTGAAAAAAGATAATGCAAAGGGAGCTGAGAAAGTGAGTATTCTCTTATCTTATACCAAGGATGTTTGGATGGTAATCATTTAATCTTCAACCAAGCCATAGATAATGAGATATGGAAATGTTAGAGTTGAGGAATATACGTCTGTATGAAACTATGAATGAATAATTTGTGAAAGATAAGTTGATTTTCAAAAGCTATGAATAGCATAGCTGTAATATGTTAATAGATTGGACGTGATCACTCATCCTTAATAGTTAATGTTGCTCTCCTAAATCTGTATAAATAATACAAACAAATAAAATTGTTTCCCACAATATATGAAAGTAGAAATAAAGACCTAATACGTGAAGCCGGTCACACATTGATCAGCCATGATCCCAGAATGATGGTAAACATGTAGTTTGATCTGAAAGTTATGTGCTGATGTTAGATGAGAAAAGTGTAGCTGCATAATGGTGGTTGTAAAGCCTGAATCTTTCCTTTTAAAATTGCTATGTTGAGTTTTTTTGATTTCACATACATGAGAATTTTAACCTTCAGAATGGAAAGCTATTTGCCTAATTATTATTATTATTACCTAATAAATTTTTGAAATGTTTTACTTTAACTGTGGGGGAATGGACAGTGAATAATTTGTTTGCTGTACTGATGCTAATACCTTGGGATGGCTTAATATAGCTGGCTTTTGAAGTATCTTTATCTGCATCTAGTTTGTTTTGCATACTTCATATATTACGACAGTACAGGTGACACTCGCACTAAAAAAATGTTCTACACTTTTTACATGTACTTTGTGATGAGTATTAGTGAGTACTTATCCTGTGTAAATGCAAGCATTTCTTGTACAGTGTATGTGTTACCATAGGTACATGTAGATATTAATTCAGATTAATTTAAGTTATAACATATACCCACTTATGTCATTTTCAGGTAGCCGAGGTGGTTAGTGGTACTAGTATTAAAGAAGAACCAAGTACACTGACTACTACAGCTGCTGCTATTGGAGGATCAATTGTATTAAATTCAACTTCAGAATTCTGTCGACAGTTAGGAGACATTCCAACTTATGGTAAGTTTGACATCCCAAACCATGTGTGTGGGATGGTAAGTTTGACATCCCAAACCATGTGTATGGGATGGTAAGTTTGACATCACAAACCATGTGTATGGGATGGTAAGTTTGACATCACAAACCATGTGTATGGGATGGTAAGTTTGACATCACAAACCATGTGTGTGGGACGGTAAGTTTGACATCACAAACCATGTGTGTGTGACGGTAAGTTTGACATCACAAACCATGTGTGTGGGACGGTAAGTTTGACATCACAAACCATGTGTGTGGGATGGTAAGTTTGACATCCCAAACCATGTGTGTGGGACGGTAAGTTTGACATCACAAACCATGTGTGTAGGATGGCAAGTTTGACATCACAAACCATGTGTGTGGGATGGTAAGTTTGACATCACAAACCATGTGTGTGGGATGGTAAGTTTGACATCACAAACCATGTGTATGGGATGGTAAGTTTGACATCTCAAACCATGTGTGTAGGATGGCAAGTTTGACATCACAAACCATGTGTGTGGGATGGTAAGTTTGACATCACAAACCATGTGTATGGGATCAGTGTCCTCCCCAGGAATTTAAACCACTGTGGCGGCCTAATTTGCATATCATTTACATAATAATAGAAATTGACCAAAGCACATTTACACCCACACAATAAACAACATATATTTTCAAAAACAAAGTGGCAGATATTTATTTGCTTTACACAGTGTTATAAACACTTTTATTTTGGGCATTTTTGTAATATTAATGAGCTCCGTCACAGTGCAATTTTTTTTTTTTTTTGAGTCAAAAAATTACGTTTCACAACTTAGAAGAGTTTTGAATTTAAAAATGAAACATTCTCGATATGCAAATGCTGCAGACTAAAAAGAAACAAATAAATTGTAAAAGGTTAAATGAAACTCAACTGAAACGTTTCAGCCAGGATTATGTTCAAGACTTTCATGACCACATAATTATTTGGCGGATTGCTGGTTATTATTCCGACCATCAGCTTCTACAACATTTACATTTACAGTAAATGAATGAAGAAATAACACTTCCAAACAATCATCAAAGTTACGACGTGACATAACTTACTTCGCGATGT